ATGTGGCCTGGGACCACTATAATTACGTTTTTGTTTAGCATAAAACAGGGCGACAGCTGTCTTGAATCCTACCATGAACGTATCCTACAGCGAAACAAGTACGCAGCCACGCCCTTCCATCTCTAGAATGCAGAGTGTGTCTTTACGTCCGGCTAAAAATTAAGTATGGGGGTTTCATAAAAGAGCGTTTATAATTTGCGATTTCGGACCGAATGCGCGCCAAACGAATAGATGAGATGAGAGTTGATCGACCCTGCCCACTCGAATCGCCCACTCTGCCGCATCTCGGAAACTCAACATTTGCTGAGTATGAACGGGGTACAATAATGATCAAATATCTTACCACGACTCCGTCGAGGCTGCGATTTTCTGTGATCGTGAACTTCTTCACAAGCATACGATCTACCACCGAATACAAACAGAAATTGTTCGAATCTCCACCCAGCAACAACAGCGCACTGTCAGGAGAGAACTGCATACAGGTGAATGATCTGAATCAACGGTTCGTCGTATAAAAAAGCATTAGCATTTTTGAGATCACTATATTCAGAAGGAAACTTACTTGCTCTTGGCAGCATTTTGCCTGGTGATCAAGTCGGCCTTGTCCTCTTGAAGGGTCCAGATCTAATCTGGCATCAATCGATCCAATGAAGCCCATCTTAAAAAAAAACTTTTAATGAGCTATTTCGCCAAATCGCCACTCAATTCTGTTAATGCGAACAAGAGTTGAGCACAACTGGTAGATGAGTCCGCAAGTTCTAAGATATTTTTGTCAAAGAACAAAATTGTAGGCACTGGGCAACCTGATATTGAAGCATGTTTTTCAAGCACTAGCCACGTTTACCAGCATTCTAGCGAAGTTCCCGAGTTTGCTGGTTTCATGCCTGCAAATCCATGGCCTGGTGGTAAACTTTCTCAAAAAGCAGGTGTGTTAGCAGCAGTTAGTAAAAACCCACAGGGTAGCAATTTCTTGGAAAAGCACACGAAACAGTGACACGATGCTGCAGGCAATAAAGGTGTAGAGAGTAAACGGGCAGGTTGGAGGTTCCCGGAAAAACAGTTTAGAACAGGAACAATACACAAGCTCCTAGGCCTTACTACGCACTTCCACCTTACGAAAATGGTCATTTTCTCGTTCTGCGAATCTGGCTACCACTTACGCGTAAGAGACTACACATTAGGTAATCATCGTCAATGGTGTCTTCAAGAGGAATCGACAAGGTTTCTGATACTGTTTCCACAATAGCCTGTAAACTACCTACATCCTTTGCATGATAAATTGTGATGTTTGAGTCGACCGTGAGCACACGCTTCACCCGCATCCGCAAGGCGAATGACACTGCTACACCATTCTTGTGCCGATGCCTCAGATCGTCCTCACATGTAGAAGTCGACCGACGATGTTCCACAACCTGCAGTCAACTTTTCTTAGCAAAAGCTGATCCCACTCTAGTTCTATACAAACAACAGCACACGCGAAGTGCTTTACGATATTGGGAACTCACTTGAGCGTTCGATCCCATGAAACACTAGCCAACGCGTTTCCATGCATACTTATATCGGCAATACTTGACTGATGCCCACTCAGCACATCTAACAGCGACCCGTTTTCCATGCTCCAGACAAAAATCTAAATAAAAGTTTCAAGTTAATGTATAAGAAGACTTGAAGATAGTGACTACTAAAGATACCATTCCAGAGTTTCAACATCAATAGTTTTTTTTGGTTCAACACTGTGAAAACGTGACCGTTCGCGCAGTTGTCACGACGTCAACAACACCCCACGTGAGACCTAGGGGATGGACGGATATCCAGAAACGAGACACTTTAAAGGCAAGGGAACAGAAATAAAGGAAGAGAGATCAGGATGACGAGCCCTGGACGATGGAGATTAGTCCAGAATGAAAGCAACTGTATATCTGTGTTTATCGATGTAGGACCGCTGGTAAGCATCGTCCCCAAAGAGGCGAAGAACCGGCGCAGTTTGCCGACGGAGGGAGAGGTGCATTCCCTCGCACTTCGTCTACTTCACTAGTTCTGGTTCACAATCTCATTCTGATGAAACCTGTGAACTCTTGTGTGAAACTGGAGCAAGCTCGTCAAGCCAGCATGGTAAAACCTGGCAACTCGAAAAAGGGTTGTTCAGAGCAAAAAATGCCCCCCCCCCCCACGTCCGCCAAACAGCGCAGAAGACACTTCTACGAGTGGACCTGCTTCGCCTTATGATGACCGCATCGCCTTCCCTCGTAATTCGCCTTTACGCCACAAAAGTGGTACAATCCTGCGATTGCGAAACAGGCTACTTGGATAAGAAAAAGATTCTATTCATCGTATAATCGCGAGATTTGCCTGTAAGTATCTCGACAACTTACACTAAACACTTCCTTCGCTCCAGCTACGACTATATCACCAGCTTGATCTACGGCTAAACTGCCAAGCTGTGTTGGCTCGGGACATACAAGGGTCACGGAAAACTTTCAGCACTACCTCTAAACAAATTATCATTTGAAAATGCTGTTTTAAAAAGTTAATCGTCTAACTTATAGACTGATCTGATCATTTGGAGGAATTGCTGCAGAAAAATTCTGCCTAATTCATCCCACACACAACCCTTTTCAAATCATGAGCTCGTACTGTTCCATCAAGAGATGCGCTCAGAATCGCTTTACCACTTTGCGTCCAGCTGACGGCTGTCACAGCTGAGGTGTGCTCATCGAACGTTACAGTACAGAACGCTGTATGTCCGTTCCATATTTTTACCTGTACAGTTTCCAATAATGGAATTAAAACGTCCATAAAAAGTTTGGGTACCTAATGTGGGGCTGTCTAAGGGCCTCAAAGGCATACCACAAATTTTCGGACCATACTTAAGCTATTTACAGCGTTTAAGTCCAGAACACCCTTTACTCGGAGTTCGAGCTAGATTTTTATCCATTTTTTTTTCAAGAGGAGATTCAACGCAGGAATTTTCGTTGGAAGCGGATGTGATAGTCGTATCTAAACAGCGATCCACTCCTGTGCTCCCTGGTAAGCATTTCGATAACAAATCTGGCCCTAATCTCGGAAAAAATGCATTAAAGCACGACTAGCGTCAAACCACTTTTCTAACAATGCAATCTGACTAGTTCGCCCATTGCAATCCGAACCGGTAATAGAATGAAAAAGCCCAAAACCCTCCAATGCCTGCTCACCACAACCTGGGTAAGGATAAACGACTCGTACAACCTACGACTTCTACGTTACGTACCTTTCCATCCTCTGCTCCAGTTGCTAGCAATGAACCATCTGGCGAATACTGTACCGCAAGAATACGCTGTGAGTGAGCTTGCTGTTTCAGGACATATGTCTCAGATTGCCACTCCCACACCTGAAATCGAAATCTGGGACTCAGTGATAAGCCCCGAAATCAGATTCAACTTACCACCAACTGCGCTGCTGATCCTTTACCGCAACCAAGCGCCAACCAATCCCCTGTCTTGTTTATTGCGACGCTGGTAATCTGCATGTCTGATACCCTTAACAAAATTATATAGTTCATGTCACAGAAGCATTCACCCAAATTACAACCAAAACATCTGAACTAACCGTAAATTATGGATGAGAGCAAATGATGGAACTTCGTGAAGAACAAACACACCATTCGAATAAGCCGTCACCAAGATGTTTGAATGTGTATGAATACGACATGATGTGACATCAATTCCGGATTTACCACTGCCGGACGATTCCAGAAGAGAATATCTGAAATGGTGGCTTTTGCAGCCTCGAACTCGGGTCGGACTTCAAAAACAGCTGTAGGCCATAATAATCGACAACTCGCAGGCTAAACAACCTGAAAAGCCTTCTAAGTACAGTTATCCATCGTCCGATAAACGCCCTTCGCAGTACCGACAGCGGATCGGCCTACGGCTAACCTACGCTACTTGAAGTTGCAGGAAGGCGCAGGGTCCACTCATAAAAGTACCCGCTTATAAACGTGATAAATTCCATAAGACCGAGTTCAAAACACTCATGATCACCAACCTCGATACAGAGAGTGGTGAGTTCATGATGGTTAAAATGATGTGATATACGAGTACCATTGACCCTTTGCTTCCCCCTTTCCACCCCTCCCCCGCTCTTCGGAATTCAGCCAATACATTAATCGGCATTTTTCGCCGCAGCGGGAAAAAATCAGCGGGAGTTTCCTTATCTGCGGCAGGTCGATCCTCTAAACATGAATGTTACATCCGCTTGGCATCCATGATCGACTTTCAATGAATCTTGACATCATGTGAGGTCCTTCTGATTAGATGTTCAAAACCGCAGTCAAGATATTAACAACTTGTTGATATCTTGGCTTTGGTTTTAAACATCTAATCAGAAGGACATCCGCTTGGCGCGAAACGGTCTAGCGCCTTAACCACAGGCGCCCGCGCCAGAACACCTAGAACACGAAATCTGCAGGGGACTTATCCCAAGTGACTGGTTGGGCTCCTGACCATGGATATCTTATCTGCTCAGCACAAAAATGCTCGTCACTTGCGCTGCCGACGCCCACGCCATCTGACGAGTGATTTCGACTCGCAACACACGCAACATGTTATTTTCGCAAGGCCGAATCGATAGGTGTAGGAGAATCTAAGGACAGAAAATGCAAGGTTCCGATTCCATACTTATGCCTAGTTGCTCGTCTCAAAGTGACTGGTAGGGCCGAATCCGTTTTGGTTGTAATAGACATGCATTGAAAAACAAGTAAATCAATATCGAAGATCCGAAGATCCACCGCTAGTACGCAAAACCAACGACTTAAAGGAAAAGAAGAACTTGACAACCTAACCTCTTTGTCTTCTCATAGTGAAGCCGTGTTACCGACTCATCTTCGCTTTCCATTTCATTTTCTTCCGGTTTTGTCCACTTTCCTGAAAAAGCAATCATAGGCCCTTTTTTCTAAGACATAGGCAGTTATTCAAACCCGATGGAATAACTAAGAGTACTAAACAAAATGGAATAGTTTAAAAACAGTAAGTATATGTTTACAAAAAGCATGGATTAAAAAAATAATAACTAGGCAATGATAACAAAACAAAGTAGAAAATAACGAGCCAATTTCATGCTACAGTTCTACAGTTTGTTACGGCACTCACTAAGACACGCACGAATTTATTTTTGCGTTCTTAGCGTTTCGAGTCTTTTGGGTGATTAAGAGGGAATGGATATCGATCTAGCGATTTCGATTTTCAGCGTACGCCAGCGTTTTGAGCGTTTCCGCGGGCACTTTTGAACTTATTGCGGGCAGTCGCTGAAAACGCTAGCGTACGCTCGACGAGCTAGATCGAAACCTATACTTTTCTTGTCGCTCAAAACGCCGACGAAGAGTATTAACCATTGTCAAAGTACCAATCAGCAGAAATCAGCGGTCAACAAACCTTCGACAAGATCTCCTGGTTGAATCGATGCCGTCCAAACATTGGCAATGCCACGTTTACATACAGATATCAACTAAAACAAAATTCACATGATAAAGGACCAGATAAAACAAAAGTAAAAAACAGTCCGCAAGAACTTACATCATAATTCTTGTTAATAAATTGACAAGTTACGATAGGGCCCTGATGTGAAGCTAAGGGATGAATAAAGAGGTTGCGATACTCACGGGCACCCACTACACGAACAATGTGATCTTCTCCACCAGCAACAACGAGGCTGAAACAATAGGTTGCTTTCAGTAATCTTCGCGGATTACATTGAAGGAATATGTGTTTGTTTTTGTGTTTTTCGAATCTGTTCCGAATGGTTGAGAATGTGTTTTCCATATTACATTTTTGAGGGCTTAAACAGTAACAAGAATCGAAAATAAACATTTACATAATGAATTTTCAGAGATGGGTGGGGAGAGGGGGGTCAAGAAAGCAATTCTGCTTCCGTTTCGCACGCGCCCTCAGGCGGAAATTGAACAAGACGCTGTTATCCTACCATTGCGCTCGTCAGTGAAGGAAGGGAGGGAGGTTAACAGCCTAATTTTTATAAATATATGTATAAACATGGAGAGAAGGTGAGTGGAGTGTAGCAGCTTATTTGAAAAAAAAACAGTCACCCTACATCTGAATAAATTCTCCGAACTACTATGACCCACAAAGATGAAAATCGAATTTGGAGGAGAGTCACACTGAAGTATGGGATATCCCATGTGACAGCAGCTACCCGAGGCCTGATGATTAGTTCCTCGCGCTACAGGAGAGTCGAAGGGACGTGAAAATGAGAATCGGTGGTCAACCAGTACGCGTGTTTCGCACATCTTCCCTTTTTCGGAGTCCCGGATCTCCCATTCCTTCTGTATTGCGAGGTATGAACGCCCGCCTTCCGGTATAAGCACATGGAAACAACTTCAAGCGGATGGGTTTTCAATCGCTCTCAGTCTCCGTTCATACTCTGCGTCACGATTTGTGCGGACGGAGCGTTTTGAGCGGACGGCAGCGTTTTGAGCGTTTCGAGGGACTAGGAAAGTAAAGGTATCGATCAGGCGTATGCCGGCATACGGCAGCGTTTTGAGTAACTATTAAAGTATGGATCTCGATCGAGCGTACACCAGCGTTTTCAGTGACTGCACGCCAAAAGCTCGAGACTGCCCGCAAAAATGCTCAAAACGCTAAAACGGATATCTACACTTTCCTAGTCGTACAAAATGCTCAGCACCTTTAAAACGCCGACGCCAACATGTACGCAGCTAGCCTTTAGGTTTGCCTCGAAATGAAAGACAGAACGGTGTAACTCCGGAGACCAGTGGCCGTTAATAGTTTCATCTTGGTTACAACCCTCCTGCTCCGATCGCTGTAGCTCGTTCAGCAAGGGTATGGGTCGTTAGTTATAAGTGGCGTCGTCTCGCACAAACTAGCATAGTGTTCCCTGGCCAATTGACTTCAAGTCGCAGTATGCACTGTAAAAAAACACGTCCTTGTGCGGGCTGCGCATAAGAACCCGCTTGCAAAACCTCATTCCACAGCGTGAAGGTAACGACCCACATCCATGCCAGCTACGTTCCCATTCCACCCTTATTTGGTACATTACATATAGAGGATGTCAGAAAGAGAACAAACCAGTGAGAACCGAGATTACGAAAAAATAAATGACATAAGCGACAATTCTAGCAAAATCTTACCACCCATCGCTCGACCAGTCAACACAATTCAACGTCTCTGATGACAGCTTGTACGTCATAGAAAGATGAAACGGGTAGTACATCGACGTCGACTGCTTTCCGATCTCTTGAATTTGCAAATCCATGTCGCGACATATTGCAATAAACCTGGAATACTGCCGCTCACGACTTTACAGAAATACTAACGTAATATTATGAAGCTAGAGCGAAAACAATCGCTATCCACACCTCCCATCCGGCGAAAACTGTACTGCCCGAACGGTTCTGTTTGCACGAAATTTGAATATTACAGTTTCTGTACTCATATTTATATAAAGAACATGTCCACCTAAAACAAAATAAATGTTTCGAAGTCACTGGAGTCATGAAATGAATTGAATCCACCACAAATATGACCATAAACGATGCTTCACATCAGCAACGTGCGATTTAAACACATACCTTCGTTGGAAACAATCATGTGCGATCCCACGTTATTCATGGCAACCGCCATAATGTTGTGCATGCAATCGATACATAGCGTCCTCGATGCATTACTAAATTCCAAAAAAAAACTGAAAGGGTCATAACAGGTCACAGGCTCTTAATAATACAAAAATATACTTAAAAATATACTACAAAAATATACGCACGGGCTTTTGCTCGGGGATGCGCCCATGTTTTATGGATTAAGGATACTCCCCGCGCACGACTAACTCGTAGGCGGCCTTTCTTGACCAAGTAGAAGGACCCGCAGTCTCTAAGACTGTCCCACTTTCACGGCTTCACTGTGAGTGACACAGGCGCTGCAGCCCTCATAAATGGCAGCTGTGATGCTCCCTTGGTTATCTTGCCCACCAGACCGCTATTTCCTGCCAGGAGTTCAGTTTTTACCCGTTTTTCTTTCCACTGTTAGGAGGC